ATCGCGAGAAGATGTCAGCGGGTTAAAACGTCCTGCTCGCCTCCTCCCTTGATCTCGGGGAGAGAGGTAAGAGTTGCTGGCACCTTTATGGGACTCAGACCTGCCGGGGCTGCGAGAAGCGCCGGCTCCCGCTAACTTTGATCGGCTTTATTCATCCCAGCTGCGCTCTATTTGTTTGTCGTTTCGCCCTTTTTTTTCCTCCCGGAATCGTTATTTATGGCCTGAAAAGTGAAACGCGCCACGATTTGCCTTTACACGGACTCATCTGCAAAAGAGGAGGGGGGGGGAACGACACCTCCCTTCTTCCCTCCCGCTCACCTCCCCCCTCGTGAGGGGGGACTGCCAAAAGAGAGGATAGAGGGGAAAAAAATGGGCAAAAAAACCTGTCTCAATCATTATCAAATCAGCTTTGAATTCATTACTCCAGAGCATTAGCTAATTACCAGATCAGAGAGAAGAAAAAATAAATATTCCTTTAAATAACTGAAGGTAATTATAACCCTGTTGTTGACACTAACGATTAATAATTGATCAGAAGTTATACACAATAAATTGTCAATTTATCTCCCTATAAAAATGCACATACTTATGATTTTTTCCCCCTAGGCGTTTTTTAAGAGCCCGAGCAACGATAGCATCCACACGGCCGCTGCACGGAGAGCAGGGCGGCCTCTTTTTTTTTTTTTTTTTCCATCCAGATATCGGTATTTTGAAACCGCACGTCACGGATGACACAAGCCCGGATGGAGCAGAAGTGACTGTCGCGGCCTGAGCTGCCGCATGTCCGAGGAGAGCCGGGCAGGGGTGACGGCCCCCCCTCTCCTTTCCTTTGAGTCCCTCAAGCCCGAAAGGAGCACAGTTAACGGCGTGTTTCAGGAGCCGCACGGTGCCTCCCTTCGAAGCAGAGCGGCCGGGTCCCTCCGTCCCTTGCTTTTGCTAAGGGAAAGCCGGCTCGGCCTGGATTGGATGTGAAATGGTGACAATCTCCTGTGACTCACGGCTGGGAGCGGGGGAGAGAGGGGGGGACGCGGGGCCAGGTTGCAGGAGCGCGGCTGCCACCTCGGCCTGGGTGCTTACAGGTAAAACGCCCCTCCAGGATACAAAACCTGCCTACACATCGCTCCGTGCAGTTTTTTTTTAAACCTATCTAGGTACATGTGCCCTCCCGAGCGCACTTTCCTTCTGAAGTTTTGATAAAGACTCTGCTTCAAAGTCAGCAATCAGGGATTAGATGCATGGGTGCATTTGAATATTCGCCGTGGATTCTTTTGTTTCTTAACTTCTTTGCGTCTTTTTTTTTTTTTTTCTTAGAAGCCAGGAACATATCTGAGTTATTAGTTACTGGATTAAAAACAAATGGGAGAATTTCATAATAATGCACAGCTTTACTGTACATAACTGTTAACTTTTTTCTTCAGCTACTACAGTGAAAAGGCTCTATACGATTAAGTCGATCGTGAGAAGCTTGCGCAAGCACCCGGGAAATGTCTGAATGCAGAAGGCAACCAAATGACCTATATATAAATCTCTTCTCTCTCTCTCCTTTTTTTTTTGGTGCCAAAGTTAATAAGTTATAAAATCTTTCCGATATTGATTACGCTCCTGCCACGCTTTCTCAACGGTACGTTGAGCCTTAACTCCGCTTAAATGAGATGTAACATGCGACGGACTCAGAAACTTCCAGAGGCGGCCGGATTTTCCCCGTCGTGTTTGGCCCAGAGGGGCCGCGACGGAGCGGTCCCCGCGGTGCCGGGCGGCGAACCGGGCTGCATTTTTTGACTTGAAAAGATAAAATGTGTATCAAAGATGCATATCACTATTATTATTATTATTATTATTATTATTACTACTACTACTACTATTATTACTATTATTATTATTATTATTTCTGCAGTTGCTCTCTTTCTTCATTAAGGCTAAGCATACCCGCGGCTAACATGCAAATATAGTGGAAACAGAAACGCAAGCTTCTATTGCGATTTGCGTTAACTTTCCCCTTAGACGGGCCGGTTTCCCCTCCTTGCGCGTCCAGGAGCGGTTCCCAGGTCTGTCTGCTTGTCCGCTGCTGGCCTGCGCTGTGTAATACCTCCATCCCCGTCCCTTCCCCCAGTCTCCACTCAAGCAAAGGTGCGCGATGCTTTTTTCCACTTTCAAAGACAGTTGGTGAGCAGCTTTCCTGAAACAATAATTCTCTCATTGAGAACAAATGTTGACATTTTCAAGGAGCAAGGAAAAGCGCAGCCCAGGAAGTGCAAGCGGGAGAGCGACCCTCTTCCTATTTGACGGTAGAGCTAATTCCTCGGGGATCCCACCTGAGATTAAAGCTTGAATTTCAATAAATCAGCTCTAATGAAACCTCTGGCCCTGAAGAGGGTAGTGTTTGTCTTCCCCGCTCAGAAAAGAGCACAGAAAGGGGGGGGGGGGGGGGGGTAAAAGTAAATATGGAAAGGGGTGTGAGATTTTAATCCCAGCGGTCTGATCAGCATCGTTACGAAGTAAGCTGTACACAACGTGCTGGGTTTTATCTTTCATGTCTCTGTCTTGCTATCCTGAAATAATCGCATCGTTTGTGCCAACAACCTAGCAAAGCTACACCTTCCTCCTGCTTTTAATTTTAATTATTAAATCTCGAAAGGTATTGAATTCTTGCCCATTAATTGCTGGTTTAAAAAAATTATTTGCCAATCGTTTGGGTGTCGCCCATCTGAATCTACGAACCACTCGTGAATTTCTCGGGGGATGAGAGAAGTCCACTGGGTTTTACATACATAGTGAATACTTAAAAGCGAGTTTCCCAAGTCTTTCTACTTTTCTTTCCAGAAAGAAATCCAGGTCTAAATACTAGCAAGGGTGGGTAAATTATGGAAATCTTTTATAATTCTTTGGGCGTATAAACATCAAAGGAATGTCGTTAGCCTTTTTTAATCTCTGCCACAGCTTTTGGTTTTTACCAGTTGAAATGTGCACGATGTGTCCAACAGAGACCTGGAACACAAAACGTGGGTGGTGGGGACGGATAGAGTAGGAGGAACAGTGGGGGAAAGAAAGTTCAGATGTCTCCCCTAGTATAAAATGTTCCCCTGTAAAATCTTCCTAAAGTGCACGGTAAAGACCGTTTGAAGGTTTTTGTAGTAAATGTTTGCATCCACCTCATACGCTAAATTGGACGGGAAAAAACAAACATTTCCTGAGCTACTTTTAAGCTGTTTATCTAACTGCGGGATATACTGCGCAGAGATAGAACTGCATTTTACCTCTATAAAAAACCCGGTGCTGTAGAAGCAGAGAAGCATCATTCCACAGCACATGAAGCAGATGAGTAGGCCTCCAACTGTAAAGATCTTCAGTGTTTTATATTTAGCTAAATGAATACCAGGGTTTTCCATAATTACAGTATTAATTTTTCCCCTAACAGCTGAAAAACACATACATTTTCTCAATCTGTGAGACAGCTTTATATGGGTAAAATACGATGGGGGGGGGGGGGGGGGGGGGGGGGGGGGGGGGCAGTGTTGACTAGTACCTGCAAACGTTCCTTTCCCCCCATTTAATATAATCACAACATTTTTCCTGACTCCAGCCTAGAATGGCTCTTTATCCAGTTAACATTCCCAGGGCTGATGCCTGAAGTATCTAAGATCACTTTCAAATGCCCTTTCTAACAAGACCTGAGCAAGAGGCCACTAATTTTCACTGAACAAAAAGCCACTGGAGAGAGATCCGTTTGTCAATATCAACTGGTCCAGCAATTTCCCATCTTCAGACACATCGGCCTATCTGAGCTGGCAGATGTTTAGACAAGATTTTATAAATTGTTCAATATCAGACCATAATGAACCCCAACTGACCATTCCAAAGCAGCTAAAAGCATTCAGGATCTCCCCTGCTGGGATCTAATAATGCTCTCACGCTGGAACATTATTAATCATGGAATAAAATAGATGAGCCTCTTGAAAAATAAGTGTATGATTGATTAAAGGGCAATCTAAGAAGCTATTATTCTTGTTTTATAACCGTAAGTTATATTCACTCAATTTATCTTTTGGGGAAAATAAATGATTGTTCATTTCTCTTCTGAAATTATATTATATGAGGATTCCCATTATTTTACTGAAAATTAAAATGATTAGTTAGCTGTTTTTATGAACCCTATCAAGATAGATTTCTAATGTAACTATCAAACTAAAGATGTGGTTCACTGATATAAAAGAAGAAATACAAACCATAAACAATAGGAATTGGGCTATTTTTGCCTCATTTTTGTATTTACGTATTTTAGCTAGAAGTAGAAACAAAGAAATTAAAAACAAACCATTGTAGATTACAGTTTTCCCCTAGAAATAGCTAATTTAGAGATCATTAACTCTAATAAAAAGCTACTTCACACCCAACAGAAATAGCTTATAAGAAACATGCATGTATTCATCTCTCTGTCTATGCCTATGCATGCACATATACAAATATGTATTTACACACATGCATATATTTAAAGTTTCAATGTAACGGAACAACCCAGAAGGAATTAATTTATGCAAACCATATCTTTGCAGCATATTTAAATTGCTTGCTCATTTTATGGTCTAAGCTGTATCAAGTGAAATTACAACTTTCATCGTTTTCTAAATAATAGATTATTATTTTGGGGGAAATGAACGAAAAACACCATATTGTTGCAGACTAGTCTTTTTTTTATTTACAATTAGAGATATAAATTAGTAAAGAATTCTCGTTAAACAACGAAAGATTGTATAACCATCAACGTTTCAAATAAAAACCAGGCAAAATTTATTTACAAAAAGTTCAGATTCCATTGCAATACAACTTGCATAAATTACTAGAAGCTTTATATCGTTACAAAAATAAATATCAAATTTGTTTCCACTTTGTAAGGACTCAAGTTCTCCAATCACATCTTTATTATCTCTACTGTATACATCTTTTACAAATAAATTTTACAATAAATCCTATCACACCTATCGAATATATACCGTGGCAATGGAGTGATCAATTCAAGATATCCTGAGAAAAACAGATCTGTTTTCAAAAGTCACACATACATTGGGGAAACTATACTATACCAGCAAACTCACGTATGTCCAACAAAATTCTGGTTTAATAATTAGAGTCTGAAGATTTAGTAGTGCTCTGTGGTCTTCTTTTATACAGTGGCACAAGATGTGATCCGGATTTAGAGATTTGTTATATATCTTAGCTCGGGGAGAGATGATGGCTTGCTGACTTTTTTCAAAGCAATTGTGACACCTACCTGTGGACCAAGGAAAAAACCAGATCATCCAAAAGTCCTTCAATTACACGCTGACACCATTAGATTGTAAAAAGGAGGTGAGGCAAAATCCTTACTCTTCTTGCCTTCTTCTAACAGAAGAATTAGTTAAAAAAATATAGACAAGGCGATTTTGTTGTGGTTGTCTATTTAGCCCTAAATACAGAGGTATTACGAGTGCCGTTGACAGCCAGGCAAGGGGCAAACCACAGATAACATAACCTGTTTAAGATGCATGCCGGTCTCTTATAGGTCCCTTTCATTGTAAATATATGGTCACTGCGTGAAACCTCACTTGTAATGAACGATTCTCGCACTTCCACGCGAGTACAAGCATTTTATTTTTAAGCAACAATACCTTTAAAGAGTATTTTAGTAAAGCTCTCTTTCCATAACATTTAAGTAGTTCTTATGTTTTCGCCTTATGCAAACAAAGAATATGCAAGGTTAAGGAACTGGCTAACCTGACTTCAAAATGAATATTAACACGAGAAGGAGAAACTGTAACGAGAAGTTTAAAAAAAAGCAGAAAAGAGTGTCTTGCTTTGTAATCAGCCTCTTATGTAATGAAGCAAGAAATGAACGTTAAGCAAGTCTAGAACTGTGCAGTATGTCGTGGACCTGGTGCCAAATGATCAGTGTAATAGAAAATGTTCCCACTTACTTGCATTGCTGTGTGATTGCACTTCTATAGGTACGGTTGTACTCCTACTGTGCAGACTTCAGTGGGATCTGTCAAAATATAACCGTCAGTTAGTCACAGGACACAGCTAGCTAACTAGATTATACAGTTTATGTATGTCCCAGCCCTCACTTGCACAGAATTCATCGCTAAGTCATTCAAAAGACTTTTGGCCAATGTTTTAGAATTGCCTTTATCTCGAATATTTTTTAAAATAAAGTGACAAATATATTTACGTAAAACTTATTCAAAAAGAGTTAAATGTGTCATGCTGCACATAATTTCATGTCCAAGGTTAGCAATTATCTGAACTCAAAGCTGCAAAAAAAAAAAAAAAAAAAAGTGAGGATACTGAAATTTACGAGAGCAAAAACAGTCTGCCGAAAAAAATTAAAGGTAATGATACCAGTACTCTCTGGATATCTATGTATTTATTTTTCCTTTTAAAAATGGCTTCTAAGCTGCATATGAAGCGTGCGAGACTGCTTGAAAAGCCGTCTTTCACACTTCCTCTCTTGGTTCCTAAAGGCAAGTATCGATACGCCGGCGACATGCAATTGTTAATCCCAGGATAATGCTATTGCCCATCTTCAGCGTGCAGTCGTAGCGGTGACAGCGCACTCGCTGTTTTGTCCGAAGGAGGTTTCTATATTTAACGTGTATAAAGAATTTACACTGGTTGCGAGGGGGGCAGGGGAACGCAGGGGAAGAAAGCGGTAAAACAAGTCACCTACCTTTCTTAGAGTCATAGCTAGAGGGCCTGTAATGTTGTTCTAGCTGGTTAGTGATGGTTTTCAAAGAGTCACTGCTCTGCTTGTGAACAGAGCTGGCATTTAGGACAGTCTGACTTAGTCCCTCGTTTGAAGCCACTGCTGCGGAGTTGTATCTCAGGATTCCCTGGCTCTGGAGAGCGTTAAAGTTCCCATAGTTTGTATAATTGCTATAAAAAGGTGAGGTGTAATAAATATGTCTCCCCAGGAGGGAGGAGGGCGAGTAGGCAGCGCTGTGCGGGGTGGAGGCGGAGGTGGCCGACGACAGAGCCGGGGGCTGGCAGCTGGGGCCCAGGTGCTGGCTTTTAAGGTCCGAGGTGGCGATTTCGGCCAGCGACCAGAGCTTGGGCTTGGTGGCGGGCGTCGGGGGGCCGGGCGAGGCCTTGCTGGCGCTGCGGGCGGCGTCGGCGTGCGGG